GGAATATTTGGCAGAGGCCACACCTACAGTCCGCGTCCCTTGCTAGGGAGGTGAGTTAGGTGGCCTCATCCCTCCAGCGCGAGCTTTCGGCCTTAATAGCGTCACGACAATAAAATAAATACTCCATTAAAAATCACACTTTTCTATCCTTACACAATTAAATGACTGATTTTAAGAACGTAATGATTGGGGCCCCACCCCGCCCCAATCTGTGGTTGCCAACCAAATTTTTTTACGCAACCTCCATTAAAGCCGACGACGCATCACAAAATAGTATACTCATGAGGGTGGCAGCAGACTGACTTCCCCTAAATGTCATTCGACCGTTCACCAAAATAAACTCATCCGTTTCGAATGCTCAGTGTACTTACAGGTATCATCCGTTATTTCCTCTAGCACTCTCTGTCTAATTCAACAACACTCTTTTACACGATTTCATGGGTTATCAAATATTAAACAGTCACCACTTACATTAATCATAAGAAATCTGCTCCAATAATATCTCAGATTAGAAACCCCAATACCTGTAAAAAGGAAAATATTAAGCACCCAAGCATGTAAACGTAAGAGCAATTCCTGTCTAGAATTCTGTTGATAACTTCCCAGAAATTCTTAGGGCCTACACTATCTGGCAAATAGAAGAAATACCTGGTAATTGTCCACTTGAAATCAGCACAGAGAACATTTATCTGCCCACTTAACAATTTCCAAAGTTCAACTTCTTTAACTTCAGAAACTTATATGACTTAAATACAGTCGTCCATACCATACCGGTATTCTACCATCACCACGGAGATTTTCCATGAATTAGGTCCTTGTATTTACAGGAGTAACGAAAATCTTTCTTCCCCTCTTAAACTATCCCCCTCTCACCATTTATCCTTTCGGATAATAAGGGTAAAATTTCTCAGAAAATCGATCACTGGAGATCGATAAATGTGCTCTCAGCATTCCTGTTCAAATTAACTTCTTTCCTAAACGGCAAGTATTTCTCTTTTCCCGAATATTCATTTGAATCCCGTCTGATCATTGACACGCTGTAAATATTCAGAAACCTTGTTAGAGATCAATTTTTAGCTGCCTTCTTGTATCTCAGTCTTAATCCATCTCTCACTGTGAAGGAACAACAAATGTTATTAGACTTGTAGACGGCCTGGCGTCCCCAACTATTACACGAATTGGAAGACCTCCTGTAAAAATATTATTGAAATTCTTCCATTACCTTGCTAAACCAAAAACCTCTCAAAACTGGAAGCAAAGTCGCGAAGCGCGCTACAACATTCGATGCCAAATTTAATGACAAAACCCGTTTATCGGAGGCATCAGCATTACGTAAGCTGGTTTTGTTGTAGTTTAGTTTCCGTGGCTATTCCGCCATTTCAAAAGAAACATAAGTTGCTTGCTAATTCATTAACTCTCATTCCTCTTGTAAGCGGAACACACAATGCTGAATGCTCAGACGAAGCACATATGCAATTTCTTTCCATCTTATAAGCATCCAAGGCATCTAAGCAAGAAAAACACATGCTCACTCAATGTAGCACTAAGTAGCAGACTTATTCATTTACACAGCATCAAAATTGTAGGTGCCTAAGACGTTTCCGAATGCAATAAACGATATTACATTAAATAGCACAGCGAATTACATTCAGAGCCACATCAAAAGCAGACGTTTTCAAAATGTACATTTGTAAATATACTATACATGCACACACTTTCCGCGAGAATCGAAAATTAATAATTTCATAACGTACAGTACGTGGATCCTTGCTATTATTGATCTTGCTTTCATGTTGCAATCAGTAGGAAATACGTACACCAGTACTTCACAAAATTAAAAAGAAGTAATTTTGCGAAAGTATGTACTTAAATAAGTTTATGAGTAATACATAATCATTTCATACGCCGAGAATATACATGTGCGTCAAGAAATTCACCATTAATCGGATGATTCGGTATCCAACGTAACTGAGCTGAGCGTAAAAAAGACCCCCAACATAATGCAAATCATCTCATATAGAGAAAAACGAAGTGAGCCCCGACATTGTCCACTGCCTCCGTCTTTCTCCTCAGATAGGTATTAGATCAGACACGTTAGAAAATTGCTAACCATTGCGGTTTAATTCATCATCTCTCAAATATCTTTGAAATAATGTGCCTTCTCAATCTCCTATATAACATTCATAAGCAAAAAAATATTGTAAAATTGTAAACCAAAAACTTCAAACAATAATGAGTGCGAACACCGAAAAAGTTTTTGAGAAAATTGTGATTATAGAAAAGAAATTTCATGCGTATATACTTTTAAATTACAATCACTCTCAAAGGCAAATACTATGTGGATTTCAACACGTGAAAATATAAATGTCAATATTTACAATTTGTTCTTCCACAGCAATTTACTAACCCAATATGAGTTTCCGTAGCTTATATTAACGACACGATATAACGAAATTTCTAATGGCATTTCCATGCTTCAAACTTCAGCACACACCCATTCGGATCATTTATTTATTTAGTGTTCTGTTTGACGACAGATCCATTATTCTGCCCAAAAAGAGTTCTCCAGTTTTCCCTGTTTAAGATCGTCGGTTAGCTGTGTCAGTCTTCTTCCCAGTCCTCGCTTTCCTTCAACCTGGCTTTCGATGATACCACTCAGTAATCCACTCATGAGGGTGTCAACAGCTGACTTAACCCAGTCGTGGTCAACGTGTTGGTCGTAGTGGTGATGAATATGGTGATGATGGTGGTGATGGTGATTCTCGATGTACTGGTGGTCGAAGTGGTCGTAGTGGTGAACGTTGTCTTGTTGGTGCCTGTGATTGTGGTGGTCATGTTGGCGGTGGCCGACGTTAGTTAGTTGGTTAGATAGTTAGTTAGTTAGTTAGTTATTTGGTTAGTTAGTTGGTTAGTTATTTGTTGGTTAGTTGGTTGGTTACTTACTTAGTTAGTTAGTTAGGTGGTTAGTTAGTTAGTTAGTTGGTTAGTTGGTTAGTTAGTTAGTTAGTTGGTTAGTTAGTTAGTTGGTTGGTTAGTTGGTTAGTTAGTTAGTTAGTTAGTTAGTTGGTTAGTTAGTTGGTTAGTTAGATGGTTAGTTAGTTGGACAATAAAGAACGAATTTGGTCATATCCCTTACCGGATAAAATGGAGTTACTAGTTTCTACCGGTCTTAAGTCTGAAGATTTCATTCCATATGCCAAAGCACACAAACATAAAAGTACAAATCACAAAATATCTTCCAGCGAATCGACATTACTTACCTTAATGTAACATGAAACTAATTCAGAAAGGTAAATATGATACAACGTAATTCATCCTTACACAGTTACATGACTAATATTAGAACGTAATGATTGGGGCCCCACCCCGCCCCAATCTGTGGTTGCCAACCTAAATTTCTAATGCAACCTCCAATTACCTCGGTTGGTTAGTTAGTTAGTTAGATAGTTGGTTAGTTAGTTAGTTAGTTAGTTGGTTAGTTAGTGCTAGTTGGATAGTGGTTGGTTAGTTGGTTGGTTAGTTGGTTGGTTAGTTGGTTAGTTAGTTGGTTAGTTAGTTAGTTAGTTGGTAGGTTAGTTGGTTAGTTAGTTGGTTGGTTAGTTGGTTAGTTGGTTAGGTAATTGGTTAGTTAGTTGGTTAGTTAGTTGGTTAGTTAGTTGGTTATTAAGTTGGTTAGTTAGTTAGTTAGTTGTGTGTGTCCTAATGTTAGGTAATCACTCTCCTGAATGTAGAAATAAAGAGGGCGCAGCGCGCGTAGACGTGAAAATCTAACTTTCTTCGACTTCACACAACTGAAAAGTGAAAATCGATTAGTAGTGACTGGGGCCCCACCCCCGCCCCAGTCTGTGGTGAACAACCGACATTTAGAAATCACCTCCATATTTCAAAATTAAAATAGATATATTGCAAATACCTAAGACGCTGGTAATCAGTTCTTTTCCTACCAAATCCTTGGCCCATCATCAGAATGTGCAACTTAGCAGCTGGTCATTCACCTCTGCGTCCAGCAACAGCAGTTTCAATACCGCAGACAGGAATTTCTGCGGACGTCCGTCCAGGTGAATGTGAATAGGCGCTGCAACGTCAATGTCTCAGGTACTATTGACATAAATATATAAAGATTGTCACATTCTGTTGTGTGTCGAGAAGTGGTCTTTTGTCTTCTGTCAAATGATCACGAAATGTGACGTCATACTCAGCGATGTCCTACAAGTCTGACCTGTGCCCTTCTTCATATGACACTGTTGCTGGGGCGCAGATCAAGAAGAAGTTATGAAACGAGGAACTGCATCACATGACACAAATGGCTACGCAGTCTTCATGTAATTCTTGATTCCACTGGTACCTTCAGGCTTCCATTAACATCGTAAATGCCAGATTCGATTTTTTCAAGGCGATGAGTTCTACATCATTTCCTTATTTGTTACCGGAGTTCAGTTGTAGCTACGGAGGCGAGCGGACGTGTTTCTACATCTCAAGGAAGAATGGGTGTCACGTTAGAAATCTGTTGCAGCCAGGAAAGTGAGGATTCACGCGGAAGGGAGCTGGAAAGTTGAGTTGGCAGGGCAACAGACGTGGTTCCTGGGTCTGGTACTAGCGACTCTTCTGGTGATTGGAGGAGTAGAACTAAACCCGGGGCCGCCAACCGATCAGGACAAGATCGGCCAGATGTTGTCCCATGTTAAAAGCCAAGCTTGGGAGACGAAAGTTATCAAGGATTTTTTGGAGAAGCACAACCAGGAAATAGGTGACTTGAGGAATGGGGCGAAGGATTTAGGACCGAATTTGGAGACGCTAAGAGCGTCAATAAATGAAGTGATCAGTAATTATAAGGAGATCAACCAGGTAGTGAAAGAGTGGGAGGAACGGCAGCAGACGATGGATGAGAAAATAAGGCAGCTGGAAGAAGGGAATCGGAAGAACAACATCCTTATTTTCGGGTTGGTGGAGAAAAGAGAGGAGGGCTACTTCGACACGCTGGATACGGTATGCAAGTTCCTCGAGGAAACGATGAAACTGGATATCCCGAAAGGGTACATCGATTACGTAGGCCGGCTGGGTCGAAGGAGAGGTGAGCGCCCGATATTGGTTAAATTTACCACGTTCGCGTCTAAGCTAGAGGTACTCAGGAACACTAAGCACCTGAGTGGTTCCACATTAAGTATATACGAGGACTTTGCTCCAGAAATAAGGAAGTGTAGGAGGGAGCTGATTCCCTACTTACGGGACGCGAAGAGAGGATACAGAGCTTTTTTGAAGAAGGATAAACTGGTGGTGGACGAGCGGACCTACGACCTAGAATACTTGGCAAGGAACATGCAATTGGAAACGCGGGACAGGGGTGTGGACACCCCTGCGGTCAGAAGGTCGGCTAGCGCCGAGCGAAGGACTCCTCGGAAAACAGGTAGCACCGGACCAGATGCCAATACCCAGCAAAGGAGCGCCGTTACACGGGAAAGACCGACAGAAACTATGCACGCTGAGTCGGGGCGCAGGGTGAGGACGAACACCGCGTCACAAGATACGAAGTCAACGCCGCAGGGAGGTGCAGCCGCTGCGGGGCGGGCGAGACCAGCTGCCCACGCGGAGGACAATGGCTTGACAACGGAATCACGGAGTGAGAGGGTCTGCAGGCAATACAACCTGAGGAGCTGGCTCACGAAGCCGAGTGACGTGTCAGTCAAGGAGTGAGGAGGAGGTGAAGGAGCGAGGGTCAGAAGTGGCTCAACATAGGCCCACGTTAGTGTGGCAGGTTTGTTAAGGGTAGGATTTCGGAATGTGGACGGGCTTAAGTGTAAAATGGGCACAAAGGATTTCTTAGATGTTCTGAGTGGCCATGATATTGTTGGGATTGCGGAGAGCTGGGCCGGAAGCGAGGTTTTTGAAATTAAAGGGTTTGTCAGCTTTTAGAAAGAAAGAAGAAGAATCGCGAGATTCTGTAGGAATCCGGGGAGACTAGTAATCTACACAAGGGAGGGAATGAGCAGAAAGGTGATTGAGATACGGACGGGCATGAAGGAGGTAATATGGGCCCGGCAGCAGATATTGGCCCGAGCGCAGGGTGCCTGAAGGCAGTTTCCAACGAACCGCCAGAGTCGTATTAGTCGAAGTCGTTGGTCTCCCGCTTGACCGCGGTAGTCCTAGTTGTCTTGAGGGAGGCATGAATCAATATATTAAAATTGTCCGTCAATCACAATAAAGTAATATAAGATAATTAAATGGTTAAAATATTATCCTTTGTTCCGTATCGAGTACTCGATTTACATATGGAACATTCTCGACATGTTTCGGCTTTCATAGAGCCGTCATCAGGTTATGTTATAAACTCTTAATTCAATTACTAAGTTTTAATTTTCTTATCATTTATTCGTTTTTCACATTGTATCAACATTTGTTGTTGTTATTACTTTATTGTGATTGACGGACAATTTTAATATATTTTAATACTATTTTTAAATCTTGATTATGTAAATACGCCAATCATCTGAAAACAAATTTAGTAAAACTTAAGGAACGACACAGGATAAGTCAGAAGTAGCTGCACACCGTTCGTGAACTGTAACCGTGTTGACTGCGGACAAAATGTTCTGATATCAGCAGATATCTCTATATTGTAATCTCAAGTTTCACATTACCGCTGAGAGCGCTTGTGAATTGTGGAAAACCAAATGGAGACTTATAGTGGCGAGGAAATCACACAGTCTTCCAACAAGTACAACAAACATGGATCAGCTGGTTTCGTGTCCGATGACGCTGAATGCACGAATATCTACACCGGATTTGAAGACCCGTGAGCCTTTTATACATTGGTTAACGGGATTCATATTTTTAAAAATCTTACGAACTTTAAAAATTCACATTCACATAAGTTCAAATTTTTTGGAATATTTAAAAGAATTGATATTTTTAATTGTGTAAAATCATAAAATTTGTATGCTTGAATATTGTACATACCTGAATTTAGGTATTCCTGTATTTAAGTACCCAATACGTCTAAAATAGTTTCTATAATTCTTCACGGATTGTAGCAGTCACCTTTCTGCATATTCATTCACAACTTATGGAAGTTTCATGAAAGCTTTTCAAATGCTGCAAACACTCGTCAATTAAACATTCATTATACTGAATTAGATTAATGAACAAATCAAGGATGGGAAAATAACACAAAACGTAAATTTTTGCGATGTTCTCCTCCATTAAGGTTGCAAAGAGTGGGAAATACGACTCCGATACTTAACGACACTACAAAGAAAAATATATTAAGTAATAATTAGACGCATGAATAATAAATAATCATTTGGTGGTGACGAATTTATATATGTAAGCCATGCGTGTGTCCACAGTTGGGATGATTTCGTACCACAACACAAAAGTTCAGTCCGAAACTAAGACCGCGGCAAAATTCCACACAACTCACTTAGAGGATAACGCACTAAGAATCGTGCAAACATAATGCCAAAATCTAACGAATAAATTTCTTCCACTAGTTATAAGTGCTAAAACTGAAAATTGTTTGGGGGAAACTGTTACACTAGAAACGGAATTTGATGTAAGACGTACCTAAATATTTTCAAGCCACAATAAGGAACTTTGAATAGACTAAATGAATATAAAATTGTTAAAAAAATACACACCTCATAACTCATAATTTCTTCCATATCAATATACAGGTAAGAGGTGAGACTCGGGAGAGTAAGTTAAAGATAAGTGATAACGAACTTTCCAACGGTACTTCCATATTGCGAACTTCATCATAAACACATATTCTCATTATGTACAGAAGAAACTTCTCAGTTTAAATACACGCACGTATTACACAACTGTCGAAAAATTGAACATCATCTAGTTTCATAAGTTACCTAGATAAAACCCTTAGTGTTAACCTGACAGAAGAATAGAATGCATGATCTGGGTAGAACGGTCGCTCTTCCCACCGTCCTCATAGGAGACTACAAGAATTCAACTGTAGTGTGTCGAAATGAAAGAAGAAACCAAACATCCCACTCTCATTCACATGGCGGACACTAAATAACGTATTTGGTGTGATTCTGTCGCATTCTTTGCCAGAAGAAATCGAAAAATTAACTACTACCGACATTAGGTCTGAAGATGATATTCTATATGCCGAAGCACTCAATCGTAACAAGACAAATCACGCAATATCTTGCAGCAGGCCGTCATTACGTACCTCAGTGTAAAATGAAATTCATTTAGAGACCTGAACATAATTCATCATAACCCATATTTACACAATTAAATGACTGATGTTAGAAACGTAATGATTGGGGCCGCACTCTCGCCCCAATCTGTTTTTTCCAACTAAAATTTGTAACACAACCTCTATTAAAATAGACAGCGCATCACGAATTAGAATACTTATGAGGGTCGTAGCAGTGACTTCGCCTAAATGTCGTTCGACCGTCCGCCAAAAGAGCCTCCGGCCTTTTCGAATAAACAATGTACACGCACGTATCCTCAGTATTTTTCACCAACACTCCCTTCTACTGCAACAACAATATATTTCACGATTTCATGGGTTATCAAATATTATTCATTCATTATTTACCCAAAATATAAAAATTCGCATCCGATAATATCCCAGATTAGAAACCTCAATACCTACTGGCCCACATCCAAATTTCAACTGTTTTAATTCAGAAACGTACATACCTTAAATAAAGCCGTCGCATTCCATACCGGTATTCTACCATCACCTCGAATGTTTCTCATCACTTAGCCCCTTCGGGTTAAAGGAGTAGAACAAGTGATTCTCCACCAATTAAAACATCTCCGTCTCAAAATTTATCCTTTCAGGTAATTAGCGAAAAATTTCTCAGAATTTCGATCACTTGGTAGTCGCTAAATATGCTCACAGCATATCTGTAAACATATTCTTCGTTCCCTCGCCTGAACGGAAAATATTTATTTCTTGCCTCAATTACTCATATTCTTTTCATCCGTTCAACGATAGGCTGAAGACGGTCGGAAAATTCGTTAAAGGATCACCTTCTTTTAGCTGCCTTTCTTAGCATTAGGCTATCTCTCACTGTGAAGGAACAACAAATGTTATTAGACTTGTAGACGGCCTGGCGACCCCAACTCTTACACTAAGTGGAAGTCTTCCTGTAAAAATATTATCGAAATTCTAACATTACCTTCCGAGACGGAAAACCTCTCACCGCTGGAAGCAAAGACGCGAAGCGCGCTACAACATTCGATGCCAAATTTAATGACAAAACCCGTTTATCGGAGGCATCAGCATTACGTAAGCTGGTTTTGTTGTAGTTTAGTTTCCATGGCTACTCCGCCATTTCAAAAGAAAAATATGTTGCATGCTTATTCATTAACTCTCATTCCCCTTGTAAGAGGAACTCACAATGACGACTGCCCAGATGAAACACATACGAAATTTTTTCCATCATATAAGCATCCAAGGCATCTAAGCAAGAAAAACACATGCTCATTCAATGTAGCACTAAGTAGCATACTTATTCATTTATTCATTTCCACTCCAACTTACTAGATGAATGATTCTACCAAAGAAAATAAAGAATGTAAAATGTACTTTTGTGCATGTACTACGCAAGCAGAATACTGACTAAAAGACTAGAAAAGAAGATAGAGGAAGTGATGGGAGACGACCAATTTGGATTCAGGAGAGGAAGAGGAACCAGAGATGCCATCGGAGTTATGAGAATAATTTCAGAGAGAGTTCTCGATGTCAAGGAAGAAGTATGTGCCTGCTTCATCGACTGGAAGAAGGCTTTCGATCGAGTAAAATGGAAGAAATTAATGAGGATCTGACTTGCCAAGGAAGCTCTGGAGGGAACAGGAGACTTCCAAATTGGAGGAAGAGTGATAAAGACTGTAAAGTATGCAGATGACTTAGTAGTATTGGCGAAGGAAGAGGAGGAATTACAGAACATGATGGACAAGTTAGTGGAAACAGGTAGAGAGTATGGAATGGAAATCAACATTGAAAAATCAAAGGTAATGAGGATAGCACCGAGAGCAGAACCATTGAACGTTGTAATTGGAAACCAACAGATGGAGAATGTGGAGCATTTCAAGTACTTGGGAAGCATAGTCACGACGGACGCCCTATGCACCAAGGAAGTAAAAGCGAGGATAGCCATGGCCAAGGCAGCTTTCGTCAAGAAGAGGATATTTCTCACTAGCAAGTTGGGCTTGGAGATGAAGATGAAACTAGTGAAGTGTTACGTATGGAGTGTCGCGCTGTATGGAGCAGAGACTTGGACACTCAGGAAGAAGGAACAGAAATACCTGGAGAGTTTTGAAATGTGGTGTTGGAGAAGAATAGAGAAGATCAGGTGGACGGATCGAGTGACCAACGAAGAAGTATTGAGGAGAGTCAACGAGCAAAGAAACATTCTGCAGGCGATTACACGAAGGAAAGCTAACTGGCTGGGACATATTGTGAGAAGGAATGGATTACTGAGTGATATCACCAAAGGCCAGGTTGAAGGAAAGCGAGGACTGGGAAGAAGACTGACACAGCTAACCGACGATCTTAAACAAGGAAAGAAGATGAAGCTTCAGGATTTAAAATGAGAAGCTGAGAATAGGGAAAACTGGCGAGCTCTTTTTGGGCAGAATAATGGACCTGTCGTCAGACAGAACACTAAATAATAATAATACTACGCAAGCATTCACGTTCTGTTATAAACAAACTTGAACAACTTCTTAATGCATTACATAGATCCCTGCAAGTACACGATATACACAAAAGAATGGTGCGGTTTCAAAAGTTAATAAAAAATTTGTTGCCGCCGTAAGGTGAGAAATTTTTTTTATTAACTTTTGAAACCGCACCATTCTTTCAATATTGATCTTCCTTCCGTGTTGCAATGAGTGGGAAACACGACTACAATAACTCACATTAAAAGACATTTGTGCAAAAGAGGGTAACCATTAAGCGAATGAGTAGATAAATGATCATTTCATGATGCCAACAATAAATAATTGCGACATGCATTAGTATAAGATTCGGATGATTTCGTATCACAACACGCTAGGACTATGAAAAAATTAAGACCCCTACAAAATTCCACACAACTTATATTGAGAAAAACTCACTGAGACGCACAATTGAATTCAGCCTCCGTCTCTTTCTGTTGAGCTTTATGACTGGTCAGAAACATTGGAACATCGCCTACCGCTTGCGGTTTACTTCCTCGTCTTTCAAAGAACCTCAATAACGGACATACGTGCCTTCTCCAAATTCTACAAGAATCCCACATGCAAGAAATTATCAAAATCTCTCTCGAAACACTTCAACACGTAAAACATGATAACGCTAAAATTATGTTGAGAAAAATTCTAACATTAGAAAAGAAATGTGATATGAGACGTATATACCCACATCCATTTTACGTTACAATCACGACCAACGACAAGACTCTAAGGATTTAAACTTGTTGCGCAAATATACAACTCAACAATTTATTTTCCTTAATGTAAATAAAACTGATTCAGAAATTTGATGAAAAATCACAGAACATTAATTCACAATTATATGACTAATATTATAACATAATGATTGGGGCCCCACTCCGCCCCAATCTGTGGTTGCCAACCAAAATTTGTAACGCAACCTCCATTGAATTCGTCGAAGCATGAAATAGAATAATCATCAGGATATCAACAACTGACAACCTAAATATCGTTCGACTGTCCTCATACAACATTTCAGCCCTTTCGACGGCACAATAATCAGGTGAGCGTTATCTGTTGCACTCTCTGACAAATGCAACAACGCTTTTTACACGATTTCATCATTCATCACTTACTCAAAACATAAGAAATCAGATCCAATAATATCTCAGATTAGAAACCTCATACGTCTGAGAGCATTATCATCTGAATACCTGTAGAGAGATCTTATTCAACTCCCAAGCATGGAAATATAAGAGAAGTTCCTCCCTAAAATTCTGACGATTTCCTCCCACAAATGCTTAGGGAACACGCAATTTAGCACATGCAAGAAATTTCTGGTAATTGTCAACCTGAAATAAGCACAGAAAACACTTATATACTTACTGTCCCATTTCCAAGAATTAAGCTCTCTTTTACGTCAGAAACGTAGATGCCTTAAATATAGCAGTTGCATTCCATACCGGTATTCTAACATCACCTCGAATGTTTTTCATCACCTAGATCCTTCAGGCTGCAGGAGAAATTCAATTGCTCCTCCATATCTTAAACCATCGCCCTCTCGCAATTTCTCCTTTCAGATAACAATCAAAAAATTTCTCAGAAATTCGATCACTTGGAAGTCGTTAAATGTGCTCACAGCATTTCTGTTCAAATTTCCTTCTTTCCTTTTCCTAAACGGAAAATATTTACTTCTTGTCTCAATCATTCATTTTTTCATCCGTTCATCGATAGACTGAAGATGGCCAGAAACCTCGTTAAAGGATCACCAATTTTAAGATGCCGTTTTGTTTTCCAGTCCCAGTCCAGTTCTCACTGTGGAGGAAACACAAATGTTATTGGACTTGGTCACTCCCTGCCGTCTCCATCTCTTACACGAAGAGGAAGACGTGCTGTAAAAATATCATCGAAATCCTTACATTACATTCCGACACGAAAACCTCTTATCGCTGCAAGCGCTACAACATTCGACGTCTAATTTAATATCAAACATCCTCTACCGGAGGCATCAGGATTACGTAGCCCTCAACTCCAGACATATTAATTTACAAAATATATGGGATTCAGTTTCAGGAATGATTTTTAAACAAATTGTCTTCTATTACAACCCAAAGACTCCGTCAATTCTGGTCTACAGACTCAAAATCCATCGCTCTTTTGGATGCAACCATCGATTTCCGGCCAACAATTTACGTAAATAAATCTACTGACGACAAACTTTCACTACAGAATCACGCCACACCGCATTAGGACAACTGGGCTTATATAAAGTTTTGGTGATATAGAAATTTATACAGAACATTTCGCACAAATATAAAATCAGCCTACAAAGGAGGATAAAAATATACAAAAATTGTAACCATCAAGAAACATTACATTTAAAACAGATGAAATTATTCTTTCTTCGGTTGTAAAAAGCGTTAGAACGCGAATATTAGCCCCTGGTTCTTCAGCGTTCCTCTCTGCTGAAGCCGTTTTCTCTCGAAGATTTTACTCAACTTGACTAAATTTTAAATAAGAAACAACGGAAATTTCCCTGCTGTTTATGAGCCACGCCATTCTCATTCTCTCTCTTCGCTCTATCTCTGATCTCTCTCGTGTATTTATTTTATCAATAACAATACAGTTCTCAATTCGGAACAAAAATGTCTTGCTCCCCTGCATTCATTCGCGACTCCAGATGGGCATTTGTAACAATTTCGAGCTTCGTTTCGCAGCTATTCTACTCAGTAGTTGTAAGTTATATATCTTAAAGGAACAAAAATGCTCTAATCGACACTGGAAAATTACAGCCAACTAAATAATTATCTGTGGCAAGATGCCTGAAGGACCAATGTCTACTTCTGGGGGAAAATAAATTTTTCACAGAAATAAACAGACTTTCCAAAACGTGCAGAAATGCGTATATTACACTCCGGAAAACAAACGACAGAAATCAGTCAAGTAAAATTAAATTTATTTTCAAGATGGCCAGACGTATCAACAGTGTGTGGAAAAATCCATCTCGATTGCATTAAAAAAATATAACATCATTTACATTAAACTTGAGGTGCTATTATCTCTTTAGACGTTTGCCCCTTCCAGCACCGAGCCACAGATACAAGGAAAATTATAATAAGACAGGACCAACTGAATCAAGAAGAACGCGAAATTCACTTCGGGGCATTGTTTCAGCCGGCTCCTGTCGGATAAGACGCAGCTGCCCCAACAAATAACAACAATACACACAAACCTGAGCACTCCTGTAACAAGAAACAAGCACACAAAAAGTATAGCACATTTCGGGGTAGCCGTGTCTTATCTACCACAGCCTGGCCCTTGCAGCTCCATGCCAACCACAGAGGAGTCCTTTAATCGACTTTAACTACCGAATATGGTATATGACTAAAGCGGTAACATATCATACCAACTACCCAACAGGTTGATAACTCGTTTTTCAGTTAACAGTTATAGTTTACTTCTGTTTCTTAAATATGTCACAATAAAAATTGCGTAGTTGAGCAAAAATTACTTCTTGCGACACCCAGCAAAGGGTTAACATCTGAAGGATTTCTTAAGGAAAATAGTTCTCTTAACCAGTACATATGTAAAACTAAAGTCCCGGGCATTTTCAACATGACTCGGGGAATCCGGACGAACCGCAGAGTATCCTGGGCATTAGCAGCAATACTCTGAAGTAAGACCTCCACGGACTCCCCAGTTTCCTCCTCCTGTATTTGGCACGGTTGGCTAGCAGCCGTGGTTCTGCGGTACAAAATAATATTGCCGCTTTCCTACCTTACGGTGTGCTCCTCGTTGCTGCAGCGACCGGCAGATGGTGACGCTGTACGTGGAGCTCGTACAACAGTGGCTCCACCTAGCACCGCATTACCACACTCGCTTCTCACGTAATAGTTTCACTTTATTCTTGAAACACGAATGTTCATCACCGCGTTCAAATAATCCGGCCACCGACCTCTATCCTGAGCTAGCTGCATCCACTATGACTCCCTGTACTGAGCCATGTGAACCCCGTCCACAAACTCACGCGACACTTCCTTAGGATACACACACAAACACACACACGTCCTTAAATCTACAATTTGGTCTCCCAGGCTTTACGACTAAAATTCTGTTTACACTTCACACACGCAAGGCTCTCAATTTTTACTCAAACCTAAACGGAATTCACCCTCCCCTCCTTCAGAATTTTCGTAACGCATTTTAAATATTCGGCAGTTTTTCTCACTTCCAAACCAGAACGATTTATCCTACATCAAAAGTAATGAGATCAGAATCATTAGGAATTTTCAAGCACTAAAATTATAATAGTCGTTACAATAAAAACTATCATTAAACATTTAATTTGAATTCAAACTTAAAACCAATTTTACAGTAAAAATGTTCCTGTAAATAATAGTGAAATTTCATGAAGAATGAAATAAATGTTAATTAAAACGACACAACTATGACAGATTATATTAAAATATAAAAAATTATAACTACAATGACACGCGTACGATTTAAAAAAATGTTGTCTAAATATTTACCCTTGAAGAGGCGGCTAACCGCCATTACGTGACGCCAAACTCACATTCCCAATTTGCACTTTCTTTCCATCTTAGAAAATTTCGAAAGTTTTTTTTCACTTTCATATTTCACGAAATTTACAAATTACTGAAGTCCAAATGCATTAGAACTTCGGCTTTTACCATTTAAACGTTCAGAGGCGATTCTTAAATTCTACGAAATCTTTTGCGTAACAAGAAACACTCGTTCAAAAACAATTTTTGTTCCTTTTCTAAAAAAACACCTGTCACCAACCGAACTTGACTGCCCGTCCAAGAATTCCTAATTTCGTAGCCACTCTTCATAAATACGACACAGCCTTCTAACCTTTTTTTGCCTTTGGTGGAGTACGAGAATTATTCACACTTCCGAATTAAACACATATTTAAAATCGGCCATTATTAAATCAAGGAAAAACGAGGTCCGAGTCACATGACAGATTTCACTGCACGACCGTCAACGACCAAAGTCCAACGAGAACTGACTGGGTCTGCTCTTGCTACTGAAGGCAACAATCAAAAGAACACCTGCGTCTAGATGACGTCATCATACATAAACTCAATGTTCCCCATTGTTGGTTGGCGATTGCGCAATATTACGAAATGTGTATTCCTACAATCAAAAACGTTCTACTTAAATACAAAGAATTTTTTTCCAATACACGAGTCATGCATTCATGAAGGCACTAAGACGTTCGCAATGACAAGGAATAAGTTTCCCAATTTGTACGTTTTTTCTACCTTAGAACGCTGAAAAACTAAGTATTAAATATCAACAGAAACCGACAGACGAAAAACGCGAAATTATCGAGAAAGACCGACAAGGACTCTAGAGAAAGCGCTCCGAAGGAGCGCGTTGCTCTACTTACGTCAAGATAAACAAACAAACGAACACCTGCGTCTAGATGACGTCATCATACATAAACACAATGTTCCCCATTGTTGGTTGGCGACTGCGCGATGTTACGAAATGAGGATTCCTACGATCAAAACCCTTCTTCTTAAGACCAAATGGGCTTTTTCCAAAATTCCCAGCTTGAATACACGTAAGAAAATAATTTCGCAAAACGACATTTACAAAAAACGTTTCCGATCCACGTAAAACCGGATAGGCGGCAAATTTATCCCATGTGTGCTGCATGTACAGCGTTCAAGTGGTTTCGAAAGGATAACCCTGCAGTATAGTTCTGACGATGCAAATGTCATAAACTCAATGTTCCCCATTGTTGGTTGTCGATTGCGCAATATTACGAAATGAGTATTCCTACAATCAAAATCCTTCTTCTTATGACCAAATGGGGTTTTTCCAAAATTCCCAGCTTGAACACACGTAAGAAACTAATTTCGCAAAACGACATTTACAAAAAACGTTTCCGATCCACGTAAAACCGGATAGGCGGCAAATTTATCCCATGTGTGCTGCATGTACAGCGTTCAAGTGGTTTCGAAAGGATAACCCTGCAGTATAGTTCTGACGATGCAAATGTCCTACCTCAAAACATTCTGAACACACTAACCTGTAACACTTGATGAGAAGTTCAGAGAAGTCATCTCACAATAATTATTAAATTAATTACATCTACAACACAGATCTGACACCCTTCAGTCTCAGAAACCAACTGTTTACTGCAGAGAATCCACGCAAATTGAACGCAACAATGCTAACGACCAACAATGTGCCTACAATTGTCCGCATTCCCACTACGCGGCGCTAGGGTAGCAAATAATAGAACATGTCTATATGAATATTCGTCTATATTCCCATAACTGTATATGTAATTATATATGTTTATTTATTTATATGCAGTGAAAATTGTAGGCTTACACATTTATTTATTTATATATATGTTGAGGACGGATATTCTGATTTGCACTAAATTTGTTATCCTTATTCGCAGAGGCCAGGAAGAGAACACAGGGGTTTTATAACTCCTATAAAAGTGTACTCAGTTCGATTTCCGATCAGGGTGGATGCTGCTATTCGGAAACTAACCAAGATAAAAGAACAGCGACAAAACAAGTTGTCAGTGGAACCACGGTTCGGAGAATTTGACGTAAATACGTCTATACGGAAAGGAAGTTTATATATTGGCTTTATCCTAAATATTTCCTTTATACCCGCTTTACAATTGAGTAAAGTTTGATTAAGACATTGCTTATTTAACTTGAATTAGTTACGCTTAAGATGGGTCTGTGATAGCTGAATGTAATGTAAAGTAATGTAACGTTTCCTAGGTAACAACAATGCCAAGTAAACAGATGACGTTTCGTAGGTAACAATAATGTTGAGTAAACAGATGACGTTTCGTAGATAACAACAATGCCAAGTAAACAGATGACGTTTCGTAGGTAACAATAATGTTGAGTAAACAGATGACGTTTCGTAGATAACAACAATGCCAAGTAAACAGATGACGTTTCGTAGGTAACAACAATGCCAAGTAAACAGATGACGTTTCGTAGGTAACAACAATGCCAAGTAAACAGATGACGTTTCGTAGGTAACAATAATGTTAAGTAAACAGATGACGTTTCGTAGATAACAATAATGCCGAGTAAACAGACGTTCCCTAGGTAACCATTGTTACACTATTTCGTTCCCCTTTTTCGTTTCCTTTTTTCGTTTCCCTTTTTCGTTAAACTTTTTTGCCGAGTGACCCTTCCTTATAGACGTACGTATTTACGTCAAAAACACTCATTTGTTTCGAAGTGGAGATTAGAGTAACAAATAACACTACATCAAAAAATTGTCCCTGGTTTAACTCCCGACAATGATATACATTAAAAGATATGGACATTTTTAAATTAATAAACGTAAGCAGTATAAGATGTAATGTTACAAACAAACAGTGCCATTTGTAGCAAAGCATTTCAGTTGAGTCCTAATTCAGTATTCTAATACAGGCTCTTATAAGCTCACGATTAAATAATTTTAAATGTAAGCAATTCTCTTAAAATTATATAAACACTGGTTTTTGAAGGTACGTCTTACAGTACATTTTTGACAAAACAGCTTGACCGCACTAACCTTTTAAAACTTGATGAGAAGGTAAATTCATATTGACATTAGTCACCTCACAGGAATTAATAATTAATTAGTTCAACAACACAGATTTCACTTTCTAACTGATTCCGACACTAATATTATTCTGTGCTGAATGTCACACAAGATTTTAAGAAGAGGATGAAGAGTTTCAGAAGCGAACTGTTTACTACAGAAAATCCACGGAAACTAAACCCAACAATACAAACAACTACAATGCGACTACAATTACTTGTCCGCATTCTCACTACGCGGCGCTAAGGTAGCAAAAAAATGAACATAAGGTCTACTTTCCAAAAAGAGTAATAGTAATTAATAGTTTAAATTGATGATTTATTTAGTTTAGTAGCTTACGTCTCGAGAACAGACTGATTTACACCAAACTTGGCATCATTATTACTTGAGGCTAGGAAGAGAACACACGATGGTCTAAATTAATGGAAAATTGTTCTGAGTTCGATTTCCAGTGAAGACGGATCCTGTAATTCGGAAACTAAGCACGATTAAAGAACAAAAACAGCGCCAGACCAAAATTGTTCGACACGAAGAGGATATTACAAAAAACAAAGACCACAATCCCAAACAAGGGTACTTTGTTCGACTCGCGGCGAAGATGTTTTGTGTTGTTCGGATAGTAAACATTAGACAATAATAGCGGTAAGCCATTTTTGTGACGAAAATACGCCTATACGGAAGGGTCATTCGGCAAAAAAGTGTAACGAAAACGTGGAACGAAAATGTGTAATATAGAGTAAACAAACCAACAACTATTAACACTATAATAAGACACTATTGCCATACGCGTTTCGACCTCAGGAGGTCATCATCAGTGGCATCAGGGAAATTAATACATTTAGTCAAATGGTTCAAACTAGATTCAGAATTAAAAATGAAAAGGTATTTGACAAGATTTTTGAAGTGACACTACACTAGATGCTGTTATTCACAGGAGTAAAACTTGCACTTAGCTATTGATCCCGTGTTCGGTGGCCGTAGCTGGTCTCGGCGAGCTGTAGTCGCGTCGTCTGTACCTGCGAACTCCAGAACCGTGGGTTAATAGTTGTTGGTTTGTTTACTCTATATTATAATACACTACACGGTATGCAAAGTTGTAAGAAAATGTGTAAGATCCGTATCAACAAATCGACAACAATGGTTACCTATGGAACGTCGTGTTTACTCGGCATTGTTGTTACCTAGGAAAACGTGTGAGATCCATATCAACAATGTGTAAATATGGACCGACAAACAATGGTCAGCTTGCGTGCATTGTTATGTTACCTAGGAAACGTCATCTATTTACTCGGCATTGTTGTGTTACATTACTGCCGTCAACAATCCGCTTTCGTAACAAAATGGATGACATTGAAGATAACATTGCATTACATTACAGAGACGTAAATATAATTTAAATACAGAGAGGTATTTACGTCAAATTCTCCGGAACCGTGGTTCCACTGTCAATTTTTTTTTGTGAGGAGAGATTTAATCAAGTAAGGTCATAACTCGAAAACTGTCCTGACTTTCAGAACATGAATCTGTAGGAAACTGTCGTATTTCCCCTTAGTAAATATTGCTCACACTCTGTTGGTCTAATTCCATGCGGGTTCATGTGTTTTCTACTTTTTCGCTTAAGGCTAGTGAACAAAAATCCTAGCATGATCCTACCCTGGCGTGATTATTCCTTAAGATCAATAAGGGAACAAAGGAAGGTCAGAGATCTGAGAAAAATGTCCTGGGTTCGATTTCCGGCAAGAGCGATTCCTTTAGCTAAAGATCAAGCGAGAGTCATGATGGTGTGCCATCCCCTTCCACATACACACGACGTTCATGTTTTTGAGGGATGCTGAAGGCAGAGTAAGGAGGAGGTGGAGCTTGTGTTTGGTGATAAGCAGGTCAAGATCCAACTAAAATCCTTTTCACGAAGGACAAGATGTCTGACGGGATAACCTCTCATCGGCAGCAATAGACCCTACTTTGAACTGCGACTAAACGCCCGTTAGCGTAAGCAAATTCCATTTTAGTTACAAGGTTCTGTTTACCATTTTCAGTAATGCGCTTCGTACGCAAAAATGGTGTTATCTAGCAAGGGACGATGCTTGTGCTTGCGCAGGACTCCGCCCTCAGTTAGCTTTATGGTTGGTTGTCACGGCTTACTCATCGCCCCGATGATGGGAGCAGCAAGGACGCGTGAAACATCGGTAAATTTCTACCAGAAGACAGCCATATTCTATTTTTACAACAAAGCCTCCTGGAATACCAAGATGATGGGAGGAAAATATTAAAGTGTT